ATATATTTTATATATATATATATATATATATATATATATATATATATATATATATATATATATATATATATATATATATATATATATATAATGTATGAAAACCCATACCCATATATACAAAAACTTTATTATGTAAATTCACAGTTCACAGATACACTTACGGATACATATATTCACATGTATACATAGGAAACTGCACATAGGTAAATTCATTAATTAAGGTAGAGGAAGAACGGTTTAAAGAATACGGGTTTACAGTTCTTGGGTCGCTCTGCGACAGTTAGTTTAATATCTTTATTATGCACCCCATACCCAACCTGTGGGCGGTAGTCACACCATACCCATCCTGTGGGCGGTAGTCAAAAGATTACAAAGGTACATAATGGGTCCAGGGACTGGACCCCAAAGTTATGATAGCTGAACTAGTTACAAAGGTAATGAACTCCAGGTAGATCTGGTCACAATCATGGCAAGTTACAAAGGTAATGACTCAGCCTCACTCCTATACATGGTTACAGTCATGAACAAATTACAAAGTAATGAACCACTGATACGTCCACACCTGGTCACAATTGTAATGAGTTATAAATACAAATATTAAGTGGGTCATACACCCACACTAGCGCGCGCACACACATACACACACGAGGGCGCAGCGACAGAAACACATAGTTATTTTTATATTTAGCAGCACTGATTTGGCAACTGTTATATTAATACAGTGATACCTGTGATGTACAGGTGACCAGTTTCCAGAGTTGTTGCTACCCTCCCAACCATGCCAGGGGCCAGATGTCTTTTTGAACGCTTCTTCAGTCAGGCTGTTGCTGTTGGTGGTATCTCCACGCACACACTGTTATCTCCACACACTCTGTTATCTCCACACACACTGGTATCTACACACACACTGGTATCTACACACACACTGGTATCTACACACACACTGGTATCTACACACACACCGGTATCTACACACACACACACACACACCACGCTTATACAACAGGCCTAGTGTCTAATCGACATGTGCCTAGGACAAAATGGTAACTAACACAGGGAGATCGACTGGGAAAACCTGGAGCCACATGGGAGCCACATGATGGATGTGGTACTTGAAAAACCTCATGCATCAACATGTCAGGGACACTACCAGAGAGAGAGGGGAGGATGAGCCAGCAAGACTGGATCTTGTATTCACCCTGAGCAGTTCAGACATTGAGGACATCACTTACGAGAGGCCCCTTGGAGCTAGAGATCACGTGGTTCTGAGTTTGGATTATATAGTAGAGTTACAAGTGGAGAAGGTAACAGGAATTGAATAGGAAAAGCCAAACTATAAAAGGGGGGACTACACAGGTATGAGGAACTTCCTGCAGGAGGTTCAGTGGGACAGAGAACTGGTAGGAAATCAGTAAACGAGATGATGGAATATGTAGCAGCAAAGTGCAAGGAGGCAGAGGAAATGTTTGTTCCCAAGGGAAATAGAAATAATAGGAAGACCAATGCGAGTCCTTGGTTTACCCGACGTAGTGGAGGCAGGAACCATACATAGTTTTAAGACGAAGTTTGATAAAGCTCATGGAGCAGGGAGAGAGAGGACCCGGTGAAGAGGCGGGGCCAGGAGCTAAGACTCGACACCTGCAACCACAAATAGGTGAGTACAAATAGGTGAGTACACACACCTCTTATTGTACCTAACGGTTACTTAATTAGTAAGTAAGTAAGTAAGTAATTTCATTCAGTATACACATACAGTTACATAAATTATCTATACAGTATGTAAAACTGATACCAAAAAAGTCAGACAGATGATTATTCCTGTGGGGTCCATTTGGTCATTTTACCATTTGACAAACGTTTACATCTAATTATTTAATCAAAACTAATGCACTAAACCGTTGGGGTCATCAACACCTTTCACTGAGAAAATCTTGACAACTCGTAGGATGTTTAGATCCACTAATCCGTATTATTTTACTTAACTCACCAGCACAGTTCGTCCCCAATATCTTATTTACACTCTCAACACATCTTCCCTGATCTCTCTTCTTTAGCATTTCGTCACAGCACAGTGTACAAAAATTTCGAACGATCGCTTACTCACGTTTTAGTAGGCAGCTTTTGCATGCGTCTCTGTTTATATCCAGTTCGCACGTGCCTCATGATGTACCGAACTATATGAAGCACTAAACACGTGTGAGTGGGTCAAAGAAGGCATGTTTGAAGCTCGTACCTCCGTTTAGTAATAGCAAGACACACTGCCAGCTACCACATGTGCGTCAGAAGGGAAGTTTAATATTTTTATTATGCACTCCATACCCATCCTGTTGGTGGCAGTCAAAAGATTACAGAGGCACCTAATGGTTCGAGGGACTACACCACGAAGAGAAGCGTGTTCGTTCGTTTATTCTCATTCTCTCTCTCTCTCTCTCTCTCTCTCTCTCTCTCTCTCTCTCTCTCTCTCTCTCTCTCTCTCTCTCTCTCTCTCTCTCACACACACAGCACACACAACACAAACACAACACACACACACACACACCACACACACACACACACACACACACACACACAACACACACACACACACACACACACACAACACACACACAACACACACACAACACACACACAACACACACACACAACACACACACACAACACACACACACACAACACACACACACACAACACACACAACACACAACACACACAACACACACACACACCACACCAACAACACAACAACACACAACACACACACACACACACACACACACACACACACACACACACACACACACACACACACACACACACACGTCGTGCCGAATAGGTAAAACTTGCGATTTTGGCTTAAATAGCAACGCTCTTCTTGCCGAATAAGGCAAGCGAAAATTTGTATATGCAATAATTTCGCAATAATCATTCTGAACCTAACGAAAAAAAATATTGTGATTGTTTATTATTAAATTATTGTAACATGTAAAATATATTTAGTTGGATTAGGCTAAATTAAGTTGCGCTTGTTTACCTGGAGAGGGTTTCGGGGGTCAACGCCCCCGCGGCCCGGTCTGAGATCAGGCCTCATGGTGGATCAGGGTCTGATCAACCAGACTGTTACTGCTGGCCGCACGCAAGCTGATGTACGAACCACAACCCGGTTGGTCAGATACTGACTTTAGGTGCCTGTCCAGTGCCTTCTTGACGACAGCCAGGGGTCTATTGGTAATCCCCCTTATGTATGCTGGGAGGCAATTGAACAGTCTTGATCCCCGGACACTTACCGAGTTGTCTCTCAGTGTACTCGTGGCGCCCCTGCTTTTCATCGGGGGAATGTTGTATCTCCTGCCGAGTCTTTTGCTTTCATAGGGAGTGATTTTCGTGTGTAGGTTTGGTACCAATCCCGCCGGGACATTCTAAGTGTATATTATAATGTATCTCTCTCGCCTGCGTTCGAGGGAATACAGATCAAGGACCTTCAACCGTTCCCAGTAGTTTAGGCGCCTTATCGCACTTACATGTGCTGTGAAAGTTCTTTGTACACTCTCCAGGTTTGCAACGTCGCCAGCCTTGAAGGGGCCGTTAGTGTACAGCAGTATTCCAGCCTAGAGAGCACAAGCGATTTGAAGAGAATCATGGGCTTGGCGTCCCTAGTTTTGAAGGTTCTCATTAGCCATCCTATCATTTTCCTAGCGGATGAGGTAGATACATTGTTGTGGTCTTTGAAGGCGAGATCCTCTGACATTATCACTCCCAGGTCTTTCACATTACTTTTCCGCTCTATTGCATAGTTAGAATTTGTTGTATAGCCTGACACATTTTTAATTTCTTCAAGTTTCCCATATCTGAGTAGTTGAAATTCTCTTCGTTGAACTTCACATTGTTTTGAGTGGTCCATTCGAAGATTTGGTTGATGTCCGCTTGGAGTCTCGCGGTGTCTTCGATGGAGGTCACTGCCATAGTCATCCGGGTGTCATCCGCAAAGGAAGACGCCGAGCTATGGCTTAAATCCCTATGTCAGAAATGAGGATGAGGAATAGAAATGGAGCGAGTACTGTGCCTTGTGGAACAGAGCTTTTTACCATGGCTGCCTGGGACTCGACTCTGTTTATTATTACTTTTTGTGTTCTATTTGTCAGGAAGTTGTAGATCCATCTACCAACTTTTCCCCTTATTCCTTTATCACGCATTTTGTGTGCTATTACACTGGTCACACTTGTCGAAAGCTTTTGCAAAGTCTGTGTATACTCCATCTGTATTTTATTTATCCTCTACTGCATCCAGGACCTTGTCATAGTGGTCCAGTAGCTGGGACAGGCAGGAGCGACCTGCTCTAAACCCGCGTTGCCCTGGGTTGTGTAACTGATGGGTATCTAGGTGGTTGGCTATCTTGCTTCTTAGAACCCTTTCAAAGAGTTTTATGATATGCGATGTTAGTGCTATCGGTCTGTAGTTCTTTGTAATTACTGCCACCTTTGTGTTTTTAGTGTGTGGGATGTGTCCGTGCTCCCTCTCCATAAAATGCTGAAGGCACGCGATAGGGGCTTCTTGCAATTCTTGATGAACACTGAGTTCCACGAGTCTGGGCCTGGGGCAGAGTGCATGGGCATGTCATTAATTGCCTGTTCAAAGTCTTGTGGAGTGGAATAATATCCGAGATTTTTGGGATGACCAAATTTTGAGTTTCGTTCATAAAGAATTCATTTGGATTGTCGACCCTTAGTCTGGGCAATGGCTCGCTGAACAATAAATCATATTGGGACTTTAGTATCTCACTCATTTCTTGACTGTCATCTGTGTATGTCCCATCCCGCCTAAGCAGCGGCCCAATACTAGATGTTGTTATCCCTTAGAATTGGCATAAGAGAAGAAGAATTTTTTTTTTAAATTTCCTGTATGGCTTTTAGTTCATCCTGTGATTCTTGTCTCCTATAAGATTACTTCAGCTTAAGTTCGATATTTGCAAATTTCACTGACTAGTGCCTCCCTTCGTATTTCAGATATATTGGCCCCACCCAGAAGCTCTATGACTCTTCGCATTCGTCTTCGTCTGTCTAATAAGGTTAGGTAAGTTTTCTAAGGTTCTTTTGGTACTAAATTATTATTTTTTTTCATTAACATAAATGAAAAAAAAATATCTTTAAACGTATAAGAATTTTTTTTAGAAAGGATTTAATTTTAAACAAGTTATTGCTAATTATCCAATTTAACCTGTTCGGCACGACGTATTATATATATATATATATATATATATATATATATAATATATATATATATATATATATATATATATATATATATATATATATATATATATTCCATAAAATAAAATTTGCTAAGTTCAGTAATTTGGGAAATACGACCTAACTGATGAAATCAGATTTTTTTTATGTACGTTTATGACTGAGACGCGAATGTTTTCTCTTAAAATATCTTTACTAAAAACTTTTCGATCCTGGGACCTAGATCACATTCACTACATCAGAAGTGAAACTATCGACCTCACAGGTGCGAAACATCGCTACTGAAGGCATCTTGAGTATCAGTTTCCCTCAAATTGTCACCAGTACCTTACCCAAAAACTTGAATGTAGAAGATGAAAAATAAGACGATCTTTCGGTCCTTCCTGGACCAGTTACAACTTGATATTACAAGATGGACCGAAACGTTACCATAAGGCCTTAAAGCGTTCTTCTGTTGTAGATGAATGGTTCAGAGAACCGACACGTTGATAAATTAGACTGACCACATCGACTCACGGTTGAGGGACTGATTACCTCATTCTTCTCCTGTTCTTCACGATTCTCCTTTGTATGGACTGATGAAGCCACTGTGTGGCGAAACGTTTCCTCAATAAAGATACCCAAGAGTTGCACATGTGTAATTTATCAGCGTTCTTCTGTACACAAGTTATTTTTAATTAGGTTAATTTAAGTTAAGTTTATTTATGGTAGTTTAATTTACTTTGAGTTAGAACATTTTGTCTAACAATCAAAAATTTGCAAATTATAACATACTACAAAGCTAAAAAAGATAATTTACAGGCAGAAGATATCACCCGGTGTTCTACAGCGAACATCAAAATGGTATACAATACCGACAGGTTGTTAGGTAAGACACATATGCAACAGTTAGACAACTTTATTCCGAAACGTTTCGCCTACACAGTAGGCTTCTTCAGTCGAATACAGAAAGTAGGCAGGAACAGTAGAGATGTGAAGACGATGTAATCAGTCCATCACCCTTAAAGTCGTAGAATTTGAGGTTGTCAGTCCCTCGGCCTGGAGAAGTTCAGTTCCATAGTCAGGAACTATCTGAAGATCAAGCGACAGTGCGGAGACTTAAATACTGTCGGAAGGAGAGGTGCAGGGTAGTAGTAGTAGTAGTAGTAGTGAGAGGCAACTGAGAGGTCATGTCCCTCTCAGATCCAACCCTTCTCACTTGAAAAGCTTGTCCAAGGTGTTTTCTGTACCAAGATGCCACGTGTTGCAGTGTCTGACAAGATGAACATCAAAATGGTATACAATACCGACAGGTTGTTAGGTAAGACACATATGCAACAGTTAGACAACTTTATTCCGAAACGTTTCGCCTACACAGTAGGCTTCTTCAGTCGAATACAGGACTGATTACATCGTCTTCACATCTCTACTGTTCCTGCCTACTTTCTGTATTCGACTGAAGAAGCCTACTGTGTAGGCGAAACGTTTCGGAATAAAGTTGTCTAACTGTTGCATATGTGTCTTACCTAACAACCTGTCGGTATTGTATACCATTTTGATGTTCATCTTGTCAGACACTGCAACACGTGGCATCTTGGTACAGAAAACACCTTGGACAAGCTTTTCAAGTGAGAAGGGTTGGATCTGAGAGGGACATGACCTCTCAGTTGCCTCTCACTACTACTACTACTACTACTACTACTACTACTACTACCCTGCACCTCTCCTTCCGACAGTATTTAAGTCTCCGCACTGTCGCTTGATCTTCAGATAGTTCCTGACTATGGAACTGAACTTCTCCAGGCCGAGGGACTGACAACCTCAAATTCTACGACTTTAAGGGTGATGGACTGATTACATCGTCTTCACATCTCTACTGTTCCTGCCTACTTTCTGTATTCGACTGAAGAAGCCTACTGTGTAGGCGAAACGTTTCGGAATAAAGTTGTCTAACTGTTGCATATGTTCTACAGCGAAATAAATCAGCCAGTGTTACTACAGTGAATGAATATACAGGAAAATGTGTAAGCTACTGTAAACTAGCCTTGACTAGTCGAGCTGTCTGAACCACGTCAAGTTGCAAGCTACAAGCACCAACAGTCTCGCTTATCAAAGACTAGACTGAGAGAACGATGGTTCTCGGATGCACTCTAATATTTTGGAGATATAAACATGACTGCTGACATGTTGAAGGAGATATAGACATGCCTGCTGACATGTTGAAGGAGATAGAGACATGACTGCCAAGAGCTGTGTGCACCAGTCCACCTTATTCCTATCATGTTTGAGGTTTATAGGGCCAGCGGCGGCTTAACACCGTACTGAACCCACCTCATTCCTCTCCTACTGATTCCTCCATTTAAAGTGATCATTTCTCGCCGATTTGTTTCTCCGCGATCTGACGTATTATGGAAATATAATATTCGTTATTCTCGTTTAGGTTAGGATACGCTTAGTTACGTTAATGAATGGCCTATATTTCCGTTTAACTCAACGAGAACTAAATAAAAATATTTCTCTCACGTCTAACAGCAGGAAGTGTATCGTTACACCTTAAAACATCCGTTTTCTCCCGAACACTTAAAATGGTACGTCAAAAAAGTTAACAAAATCTAATCACAGATACGAAAATTTGCCAACAGATTTACAAGGTCAGAGCTAAAACTCACGTAGAGAACTACGAATAAACGAAAAGTTGTAAATATGCTCTGAAGCATGTTTACACCCAGTGCAAGCTTGTGTAAATGTATGTAAAGTGTGTAAACATGTGTGAGAGTGACTCCTTAATCAACAGGTGTGTGAGGAGACACCAGCACCTTGACACACATGATACCAAGAGGAGAAAGCCAACTGACTTAACTTAATGACCACGACCCTCTCACACACCCATGCCCCCTTCCTCTCTCTTTACACACCCATGCTCCCTTCCTCTCTCTCTTTACACACCCATGCCCCCTCTCTCACACACCCATGCCCCCTTCCTCTCTCTTTACACACCCATGCTCCCTTCCTCTCTCTCTTTACACACCCATGCCCCCTCTCTCACACACACACACCCATGCCCCCTTCCTCTCTCTTTACACACCCATGCTCCCTTCCTCTCTCTCTTTACACACCCATGCTCCCTTCCTCTCTCTCTTTACACACCCATGCCCCCTCTCTCACACACACACACCCATGCCCCCTCTCTCACACCCATGTCCCCTCTCTCACACACCCATGCCCCCTCTCACACACTCCCATGCCCCCTCTCTCACACACATAATGCCCCCTCTCTCACACACACATCCATGCTCCCTCCCTCTCTCTCCTCTCTCTCTCACACACACACACCCATGCTCCCTTCCTCTCTCTCTTTACACACCCATGCCCCCTCTCTCACACACCCATGCCCCCTTCCTCTCTCTTTACACACCCATGCTCCCTTCCTCTCTCTCTTTACACACCCATGCCCCCTCTCTCACACACACACCCATGCTCCCTTCCTCTCTCTCTTTACACACCCATGCCCCCTTCCTCTCTCTTTACACACCCATGCTCCCTTCCTCTCTCTCTTACACACCCATGCTCCCTTCCTCTCTCTCTTTACACACCCATGCCCCCTCTCTCTCACACACACACCCATGCCCCCTCTCTCACACCCATGCCCCCTCTCCACACACCCATGCCCCCTCTCACACACTCCCATGCCCGGTCTCTCACACACATAATGCCCCCTCTCTCACACACACATCCATGCTCCCTCCCTCTCTCTCTCTCTCTCACACACACACACCCATGCCCCTCTCACACACACACACACACACACACACACACATGCCCCTCTCTTACACACACACCCATGCCCCCTCTCTCACACACACCCATGCCCCCTCTCACACACACACCGATTCCCCCTCTCACACACACCGATTCCCCCTCTCACACACACACCCATGCCTCTCTCTTACACACACACACACACACACACATGCCTTTCTCTTACACACCCATGCCCCCTCTCTCACACACTCATGCCCCCTCTCTCACACACACCCATGCCCCCTCTCACACACACACCCAGTGCCACATTGTGTGATAATCGAGGAATCACCCACAGTGCCACACTGTGTGATAATCGAGGAATCACCCACAGTGCCACATTGTGTGATAATCGAGGAAACACCCACAGTGCCACATTGTGTGATAATCGAGGAAACACCCACAGTGCCACATTGTGTGATAATCGAGGAAACACCCCACAGTGCCACATTGTGTGATAATCGAGGAAACACCCACAGTGCCACATTGTGTGATAATCGAGGAAACACCCAGAGTGCCACATTGTGTGATAATCGAGGAATCACCCACAGTGCCACATTGTGTGATAATCGAGGAAACACCCACAGTGCCACATTGTGTGATAATCGAGGAAACACCCACAGTGCCACATTGTGTGATAATCGAGGAAACACCCACAGTGCCACATTGTGTGATAATCGAGGAAACACCCACAGTGCCACATTGTGTGATAATCGAGGAAACACCCACAGTGCCTCATTGTGTGATAATCGAGGAAACACCCACAGTGCCACATTGTGTGATAATCGAGGAAACCCACAGTGCCACATTGTGTGATAATCGAGGAATCACCCACAGTGCCACATTGTGTGATAATCGAGGAATCACCCACAGTGCCACATTGTGTGATAATCGAGGAAACACCCACAGTGCCACATTGTGTGATAATCGAGGAAACACCCACAGTGCCACATTGTGTGATAATCGAGGAAACACCCACAGTGCCACATTGTGTGATAATCGAGGAATCACCCACAGTGCCACATTGTGTGATAATCGA